CATCCAATATATTCTCCACATGGATGCCATTCTGAATTGTAAAATAATTTTTTATTTATAAATAATTATTTAATTTTCAGACTCGGTTCTTGGAGTAATCATGAGGGATACGGGTATGTTTTGATTAATTGATAATATTTTGTATAAATTTGTTAGTCCATATAATGTATTTTTGGTGTTAACTTTGTTTGCTTTTACATTTGTATGTTTTTTTAAATTAAATAATTAGTTAACGAGTTACAAAGCATTCTTTAAAAAATTTTTTTAATTATTTAATAAATTAACAGTTATTATTATCCGCTCTATGCAATACAATGCCAATTCCTTGTGGAATGTTTATGCCTTTATTTGTTGTTGGGGCTGCTTTTGGAAGGTAAATTAAATTATTTCTTTTCGGTTATGAACACAAAAATAGAACACACAACAAAATATTTTTTAATTCTTCATCTTCTCGTCGCTTTCCTCAATAGTAATTTGATATATCGATAGAAACAATTTAAACTGTTCCCCGTAAATAATTTTACAAATTATTAAGATACTGGAGTTCAAATTTTGTATTTATATTATAAATCACTTCCAATTTAAATCTTTAATTTTAATTAAAAATTTCTTTAAAAATTAAGTCAGAGAGCACAGTGTTAGTTACTCTTCTCTGGCAATATATTTGACTTTTAGGTATATGTCAGTTGAACCCGTTTGAGTTTTGAACTCTATAAATACCTACTTTCCTTTTTTCTGGGATAATTAAGTAATAATTAACAATTTTATTTTCATAACCGGAAAGAATTATTAAACAATTTCCTTTTAATTATTAATTTTTAATAGATTAATTGGTGAAATTATTTCAAGTATTTTCCCAGATGGAATACCTGGAGGAACAGATCAAGTACTTCTTTTAAATTTGAAATAAAAAATCCTTTAAAGCCAATATTTCCTGGAATATATGCTGTTGTTGGAGCAGCATCATTAACTGGGGCAATAACTCATTCTGTTTCTGTTGCAATGATTTGTTGTGAAATAACCGGACAATTAATTTATATAATACCTTTAATGGTTTTTAAAAGTTGATTATTTAATATGAATAAATTTAAAAATAAGATTGCTGTAATTATTGCTAATGCTGTTTGTGCTTATATACAACCATCAATATATGGTAAATAATTAATTAAGGATCTTTAATGAATTGATGTACGGGAAAAGAGAGATTTTTGTTTTTAAATAAAATCGGGTTCGGGGAATTGGGAAGCATGATTAAAACCAATAAAGATATCGAGAAACTAATAATAATATTGAACTATTTTGAGATGTAATGATTGGCATCAAAAATTTGCCATATTTGCCGGACATTCCGCCTTCAAATGCCGAGTAATTTACTATAATTATCATTCATTTGCTTAATCTAACAATCTTTTAGAGTTCATCTTTATGCTGCAGAAAATATAATGGAAGCTAATGTATATTAAATAGAAATATTTTTAATTCCTTTTAACTTTAAAACAATTTAGTTAATTATAGGTTCGATATATTTGTCGAGTAACTAAATTCGAGGAAATCCGAAAATTAATTATTGAAATGCCAAAATTACGTTCATTTCCTGTCGTTGATGATCCAAGTTTTAGACAAAAAAATTTTAAAATATTTTTTTATTTTCAGCATCATTAATGTTATTAGGATCAATTTCTCGTAGAACAATTTTGGAAATATTAAATGCCCAAATAGGTGAAGAAGCAAGAAAAAGAGAGGCTGAAAGGAGAATTCGAATTGCTATTGAAACAATTGATAAACACTTTCGAGAGGCTCAAATGGATGAAACTGTTAATTTTCTTTTCAAATTTTACACAATGATTATACAAATTTAGAAATCAGATTCTGAATGTACAGCAATTGGCTTAACAAAGTTAAATGGACAAGAACGGCTTTTAGAAGATTTGGATAAGGAGGAAGAGGAAGATGGACGGAGAAGAGTATTTAGTCATGGAGCTTATGACATGAATAGAACACCTAATGGAGAGAATACTAAAAATATACTAGATAAACCAAATAAAAGAATGGTTAGATGTTCTTTGTCAGAAGGTGCTTTAGTACAGAAAAAGCATTATAATGATGATTCTACTAAAAGGAAAAAATCCAAAGAAAATAAATTAAAAAAAGAACAACAAAAAATGAGTATTTGTAGTCAAATATATCCAGTAAATGAACAAAAAAAGGATAATAATATGGCTTTTGAAGACAATAAAGATAGTAATAGCAGGTAAATCTTTTTAATTAAAATTTTGTTAAAAATAAAATTATTTTAGTAGATTTATTGTCGAACCAGTAATTTCAACAAAAAGGCGGAATTTAAGCTCCGGACAATTATTCCCCTCGGTTAGAGCAGTTCGTAGAAACGCATTTGCTTTAATGCCTTGGAAAACAATTAGCGATAGTGATGGTTTGAAAAAAATAAATTTAATTTAATTCTTGTTATTTTGCAGAAAGTTCTGAGGCAGGTACTTCCCCTCCGAAAAAAATTTCTTGTCCAGACCTAAAAATGGCAACTATGCATTCACAATGGGGGCCTTTTGACCATCAATTATCTTTATCTAGTCAGATTTTTCAAGATTCTTATTTTTTGTTAATCAAAAAATTTAAAGAAAATATTTCTGAGTATGTTCGTTCAGTAAAAAGAAAATTAAGAATGATGCAAAATAAACATTTAGCAGAACCTGTTGATTATGATTTACATGATGATGAAGTAAATTATTTTGGAAATTTCTGATAAATAAAAATATTTTTTATAGCGTAGAGAATGGGAATTAGCTAAATTATGTGAGGAAATAGAGATTGAAGAAAAATTAATTGATCCTGCCCCGTTTCAAGTAAAATAAAAATAAAAAATAAATATCTAGACAAATAATTAAAATTTCCAAGTTGGTAAGAAGAACATCAGTTTATAAAGTACATTCGTTATTTTCACTTTTGGATTTAAATCGAGCATATGTAACTGGTTAATTTATTATAATAATTACATCAGTATTTTATTTTTATTAAAGATCGAGGCCGTTTAGTTGGAGTTGTGGCATTGAGAGATGTGAGAGAATATTTTTATTCGAGAATTATTTAAAATAAGGAAAGATTTTTTTAAACAATTTTTATTTAGTTGAGAATTGCCATTCAAAAATCTCAAAGTGGTTTACCAATGTATCGTTCAAATTTGGATACATTAAAAGAAAAAAGACGAAATTCAGTCTTTCCTGCTGAACAATCTGTGAATATTTCATCAAATAATTTCGGCAGAAATTCAATACAAGATATAGATTTGGAAGGTGCGAGGAAATTGATTGGAAATGGGCATTTTGTTGGAATAAACTCGAATGAAGTTTATTTAGAAGAAAACAACAAAAATACGAGTGAATTGGAAGAAAATAAAGGAATTCAACAAGAACAAACAGTTTTACTCAGATCCAATTTATTTCTTAAATTTTTCAAATTTTAGACAAGACCAACAAGTCTACAAATAATTAGAGAAGAGTTTGAACCAAAAGAATTAAATAATGGAATAAGGCTTCGGTTAGGTAGTAGAATATTTGAAAGTCAAACATCTTCCACTCCTTTATCTGAGCATATATCACCAACAGATCCAAATAACGTTGCACAAGCTGTGGAATATTTAAGGAGAAGATCAGTGGCAGTGGAAGATTTAAAAACATTAGAAGAAACTCCTTTACCTGAAGTTACACAAGATTTACAAAAAGAGATGGAATAATAATTTTTTAAATAATTCAGAGTTATCGCTAGTCTGAAAAATTTTTTAGAATATTTTCATATGTAAGTTAGTAATTCTAAAAAAATAATTTTGTGGTATATCCTTGAGCGTTAACTCTGTCAGTCTTGTATTATTTATTTTTTGATTAAATTCTTTTATGTAGTAGAAGAAGACTAGAAACATTTAATCTTTTATATACAAAATAAATTGATGAAAAAAAAACAAATTTGAGTGAAACTTGCCAAAATGTTTAAAGAAAATTAGAATTAAGGTGAGATCGAGAAAATGAAAAAAGGTTTAAAAATAAATTAAAGTGTTTGTTTAAAGGCAATAATTGTTGAGTATTTTTGTCTGAAGTACGTGGGACCCGAGACCTAGATTCGAAATATATACCAATCGATTCCTTTCGCCAAGCTGACAATGAGTTCAAATATTCTTTTTGGTACTTTCCTGTTATCGGCCCACATTTTTATTTTCTTTTTCCTCCTTCGGGTCCACGTACTATGCAGCTCCCGTATTTTTTGTTACTCGTGTTCATTTCCTGAAAAGGAAGCAGGGGCATGAGAGTTAAGTTTTCCCTTCCCCGAATTTTGTTTTTTTATCTGATTTCAAAACTGAAATTTTCCCGTCCAAGGGGGAGGGGGAGGGAGGGAGGAATAGCCGTCTTTTGTGGAGAAAAGGAATCAATCCCTCCGTCCAATGTACCTTCCTTTTACGGGTAACAATTGCAAAAAAACCAAATTATTTTAATCATCGTCAGTAATATATCCTTCTTCCAAATATGAATTTTCTTCATCACTCCCTTCATTTTGACAATAAATTTCCGAATGATAACTAAATTCCATTGCTGAAACATGATCACTATCGCCCGTTATAAAACTTGCCATTCTAGTAAAATTTTATTAAAAATATAATTATTAATAAAAAAACCTGTTTGGTCTTTTAAGTCGTGAAACAAGTTGCCAATTAGTTTTTGAATTTTGTGAATTACAAAATTGCCGTAAATTTTCCAATTCCATCCTTGTATAAATTCTTGACTAAAAATTTAAAAAAATTAATGAAAAAATCAATTTTTTCCTTAGACTCTAAAAAATGATATCCAAACAAATTGGGAAAATTAACAAGAAATTTTAAAAACAAAGTTTAAAAGCTACAAAATAAACCCCAGATTTGAACGATTATTTAAATACTAGTTAGTTCTTTTATAAGTCTCCAGTTAGAATTTATTTTATCAAGATCAGAAATTCTACAAAATTTATCCAAAAAATACCTCTTCCAAATATTCCTCTTCGGAGAGAAGTTTTCGAGGCTGTGGACCAAATAAAAATTCTCTGAATTAAAAAAATTTTTCGAAATTAAAAAATTAATTTAAAAACCTTAATTTGTTCCAATTTCTTCTAGAAAATTTAAATATTTTGTTAGCGTTTCTTCTCCAAATAGATATAAAAATTACAAAAAATATTAAGGCATATGCAACTTCTTGTACCTAAAATTTAGTAAAAATAAATAATATCAAAATAAAATATACCTGATTAAAAAAATAAATTAGAGCCAAAGCAATTATTTGTAAAGTCCATTCCATTAAATTTAAAGAACGTTCATCTTCTGGAGGACCCATTCTATAGCAAACAGCAAGGGAAATAATTGTAAATATTCCCTTAAATATTTTGTAATTATTTAAATTACAAAAGTTATTTACCAAATAAAGAATTGCATAAAATCTGTATTCTAAAAATATTACGCTAAAATTCCTCCAAGTTAAGTAGTAAATATAAGCAGACAACGGCCATCCACCAAAAAGAAATGGAAATCTGGCAAACTAAAAAAAAATTTTCTTAATTGTAAAAAAGGCTAAACTGCACTTTACCGGGCAATTTTATTTTTGGAGAATTTATATGTAAATCGAAAGAGCTCGGCGAGCTGAGTCGAATGATACCAAAATTCGCGGAAATAACTATACAAGCCCCTAAAAAGTAAAAAACCATAGGGGGTCCAATCCAAATATAAAATCGCCCGATAAAGTGCAGTTAGGCTGTAAAAAAATTAAATTCTTACTTTTGGTATAAATTTTTGAAATAAATGTCCAAAAATTAAAAAAGATGCAAAAATTCCAATTAAAATTCCAGTTAAATAAAATACAGCAACACTTCTTACCAATTTTCTAGCATAAAGAAAAATGAAAATTGCTGAAATAGATACTAAAACTTGAAAATTTAGAAGATATGCTTTAATTTCTTTCTCCCAATACATCTCTAAAAAACTTTAAAAATATTATAAAATTTAGACAATGAAATTAACAAGAAAAATGCAAAAAATAAATTGTACATAGAAAAATTTGTGAATTTTTTCAAAACATAAAACCCTTGAGTCAAACAGTGTACTTCACCACTTATAAAAAAAGTTCTAGTTGATCAAAGCTGGCTAGCGATCAGTTGTCGGTACTCAACTGGCCGCAACCAATCATTTGGCGTTCTATTATTATTTAATTTTTTTAATTTTGAATTTTTTGTTCTGTTGTTCCTTTGAATTTGGATTAGGATTTCTTTAATTTTTCGGCTTTAACTTTGCTTATAATTAAATTTTATTTTATAATTTTACAAATTTTAATTTCCCTTTCATATCATTACGTTTTATCTATTTTTAAAAAAGAGCCTATTTTCAGTTTTTTAATTGCTATTGTATTATTTCTACATGTGTTTTTTCCCTCTCATTGAATGAACAAATAACGGACTTTATTTTTGTCCTCCTCTTGTTATTCACGCATTATACTATTGCAATTTTCCTTTAGAATTTTTTTGTATATCTCTTTGCTATTTATTTCAAATTTTATTATTTTTAAAATTTTCTATTGAGGTATATAAAATGACACGCTCTTATAACGTTTGTGAACGAATAGAAGTAAATCTGGATAGTATGCCACGTGAAGACAGTAGATTAAGTGGAAGAGTAGGATGCTCGAATTTTGGAACAAGCGAACGTCTATTTGGACGTGATCATCTTGAAGATGAATTGGATCCAGTTCTTTCGGCTGCTGTTCGCTTTAATAAATCAAAAAGCAAAGGGCTGATGTGAGTTTACTATTTGTTATTGAATTAATTTTAAGATTATTTTTTTTCAGAGGATTAAAATATGTTCTCCTTTGTCTAATTGCTCTTCTTGCAATCATTCTTCTCACAATTGCTCTTTTCATAATATTTAGTCAAAGCAGCAGCGTTTCCGCTTACGCTAGTAATGCAGAAAATCAGGAAGCAAGACGCGTCATAATAACAGATGAGGACAAAGAGACAGAACGTTGGACTGAGGCATATCAAAGAAATGAAGTGACTGATGTTACACATAATAATGTTGGAGAAGAAGTAATTGAAACATTTCATGATGTTTTATTTCAAAACAAAAGACCTAAAATTGAATCTGGCCTTCTTCAGGCAGAACATGTTCGAACTGGACACCATCCTCCGATCGCTCATCCGTCTACTGTTCTCGAGTCGAGTACCTCAATGCCTACCACACCATCGACAGAACTTACACTGACACAGCGACCGATTTCTCTTCGGACGTATTTGTGGACCCATGCACCTCCAAAAAGGTTATCATCGTCGACAACTACAACTACTTCAACAGAATCAATAACGACTACAACACAAGAAAAATCAATCGTAAGTTAATTATTTTCTTACATTTTCCAATTTTCATATTATGATTCTTTCCAAAAATAAGATTAATAGTTAACTTTTCTGGGAATATTGAAAAAAAAAAGTTAAAAAGGAGTACGACGTGATATAATTAATATTTTTTGAATTAATCATTAATATACTTGATTTTTAAGTTTCTATCACCAATTGGAGAAGTTGTCGACTGCGAACATTTTCGTAATAAAGGAAAAGGGTCTGGTGCTAATCAACTTTCTGTTCCCAATTATGGCGATTTTTATGCTTATTGTGAAATGGAGTCGGAACAAGGATGGATTGTTCTTCAAAAGTTTTTTTTATCACAGCAAAATTAATTTTAATTATTTTTTTAGACGCACAAGCGGGAAATGGCCTTTTTGGAATGCAAGTTTTGATGAATATTCTTATGGATTTGGTGACTTACCAGATGGAGATCACTGGCTTGGTTTAGATCGTGTATCTGCTTTTGTGGAAAGTAATCGTCGTTTGGAAATGCGCATTCGACTTCAAGGCGATTTTTGTGTTTCAAAGGCTTGTAGCGGACTTGGTGATGATGGCAATTGGTGGGGTGACTGGAAGTTTAAGGTAGAAAATAATTGATTTATTTGAATTAAATATTACGATTTTTAAATAAAAAACATAAGAAAAATTTAGATTTTGAGCCGTGATGAAGGATATCGAATAACAGACTTGGAATACCTGCGTGGAAATCTCAGTGACCCAAACCAGCCAGAGAAGGATTTGTTTACACAGTTGTGCAATAATCGAAGTTTTACAACTGTTGATGTAGACAACGATGAGAATAAATATGAAAATTGTGCTAAATTTCGTCGACGAGGGTACATTTAATGACTTTAAATTGTTATTTATAAATTCATTATAGTGCGTGGTGGCATGGTGGGTGCGCCTACACTTCACTCAATGGACTTTATGGTGATCCAGGTAACAAGCCTAGCGGTCAATTTTGGCATTGGAGGTCGGCAATTGAAAATATCACTCATAAATCGTATGAGATAAAACCAAAGAAGTCGTTGATATTATTCAGGGTCGTGCAATAATGAAAAAAATAAAAACCTCCGATTTTTGTTATTTATCGCCAAAATTGAATCTCATATTTGTAGCAGAAATTTTAACTCGGTTTTAGAAACACTACACATTTTTGAATAAAATTTTATTTGTTTCCGTTAAATTTACAGAAAATTTGGTGTAAAATCCAAATTTATTTTTTAACATTTTTTATGATTTTTAATTCAATTTTAAATATCCGCTTTTTAAATATTTTATGTAAAGCCAAAAATGGATGCATGCGTAGACATGTTAGCGGCGAAAATAGGTTGTAGTCTTTTCGTTCCTTTTCGGGTATGCTTTTAAAATTTATTGAATGAATCCTAGCCCAGCTATACGCTAACTGGATGCCTGTTGAATTGCGACTTTCGTTCTACCTTTTTCTAACTTTAAATGTTAACTGTAGAGGTGCGTTTTGTGGCGAATATAGTTAAATATAATTAAGTTTAGAAACTCAGTATATTTTCTAATAATTATTAATGGATCTGTTTTCTTTAAAAATAAAATTTTAGATAGTACTTATGTCTCAAAATATTTTTACTAAAGTATTTAATTCACAATTTGTCCACATCTATGATCGAAGCCGTAGTGATCCTCTTAAAGCATTGCAATCAATGAATAGGCTTAGAGTTCCGTGGATCTCATCTTTCATCTCGAAGGTTTTTATCTTATATTATTTTAACTTTTAATTATTTAATTAAGTAAAGAATACTCAAGTCAAGCCTGATCGTCCCCTTGAAGGGAATAAAATACTTGATGTTGGATGTGGTCCAGGAATTCTCTCTCTTGCACTTGGTCGATTAGGTGCAGAAGTTGTTGGAATTGATGAAGTTCCGAGTGCAATTAATTTAGCTCAAAAATCGAGTTTCACTCTCTCTCCAGAACTTCGGTCAAATACAAAATTTGTGACTGATACGATTGAAAATTTTGCTTTAAATGAAGACAATCATCATGGTTAAAATATAAATAGAATTGTAATTTTAAATAAAAATCTTTAGTTTTTGACGCAGTGGTTGCCTCAGAAGTTGCAGAGCATGTAGCAGATCTAAATCTTTTTGTTAAAACTTGCTGCAAACTAGCAAAACCTAATTCTCCAGTATTCTTTACTACAATAAATAGAACATTATGTAGTTGGATATTTGCTATACTTGTTGCAGAGGTTTTTAAATTTTTTAGCAGTTTATGTATTCCAAATGTTAGGATATTTTGCGACTTCTACCAAAAGGACTTCATGAATACGAAAAGTTTGTTAGACCTGAGGATCTTCGAAGATTGCTTGTTGATGAACAATGTCGACTTGGACATACGCGTGGCATGTTCTATAATCCATTGACTGATCATTGGTCTTGGACTGATTTCACAGAAATTAATTATGGATTGGTTGCATTTACAAAACCATATTAGCTTTAGATTTTTCTTGATAAATTATTAAATCATTGTTTTTCACAGTATTTACATGTAATGAATTCATTCATTATTTGAGTATATTAACAAATTTATAAAATCAATTTTCTTAGAGATTCATACAAATTAATTGGTTTTCTCACATTGAAAAATGGATGAAGAATATGATGCAATTGTTCTTGGAACGGGACTTAAGGTTTAATTTATTTACTCGTTAAATGTTTATCCTTTCATTTTTAGGAGTGCATCCTTTCTGGGATGCTTTCTGTTTCTGGAAAGAAGGTCTTGCATATAGACCGAAATAATTACTATGGTGCCGAGTCTGCTTCGTTGACTCCGCTGGACGAACTCTACCAGAAGTTTCGAGGTATTGAATCATTTGAATGCCTTTATAAAGTTAAATAAAGGTGCCACTGCTAAGGCTCCTGAAGAGATGGGTAGGGGTCGCGATTGGAATGTTGACTTGATTCCAAAGTTCCTTATGGCAAATGGACAATTGGTTTGCATTTAACGTTTCTTTTACCTAAATAACTCGAAATTTCAGGTTAAACTTCTTATTCATACTGGAGTTACTCGCTACTTAGAGTTTAAATCGATAGAGGGCTCTTACGTCTACAAGGGAGGAAAGATTTACAAGGTGCCTGCTGATGAAATGGAGGCTTTGTCTACAAGTAAATTTCTGTCTCTATACATATAAATCCAAATTTTTCTATCTTTTTATCACTAAATTTAGGTCTCATGGGGATGTTTGAGAAACGACGCTTCAAAAAATTTCTTGTATGGGTGCAAGGGTTTGATAAGAATGACTCGAAGACCTGGGAAGGAATGGATCCAAATAATACTATTATGCAACAAGTGGGTTTTTTTAAATTATGTATCATTATTTAAACCTAAAAAATTTGATTTGAAATCAAGAATTAATATTTAAGGTTTACGAAAAGTTTGGTTTGGACGATAATACCGCTGACTTTACTGGCCATGCTTTGGCGCTTTATCGTGATGACAATTATAAGTCTCAGCCATATGAGCAAACTGTTGCACGTATCCGCTTATATAGTGATTCATTGGCTCGTTATGGGAAATCTCCTTATCTGTATCCGCTTTATGGTCTTGGAGAACTCCCTCAAGGCTTTGCTCGTCTCTCAAGTATTTATGGCGGAACTTATATGTTGGACAAACCTGTTGATGAGATTGTGTTTGAAGGTGGGAAAGCGATAGGAGTTCGAAGCGGAAATGAAGTGGCCAAATGCAAACAAGTTTATCAATTCGTTTATTCGAATCATATTTCTAAAATAGGTATATTGTGATCCGTCATATGTCGACAGCACTCGAGTTAAGAAGGTTGGTCAGGTTGTCCGTGCAATTTGTTTGTTGAATCATCCAATTGCTAATACTAATGATGCGGCTAGTTGTCAAATTATTATTCCGCAAAAACAAGTTGGACGCCACTCGGGTTTCTTTTAAATCCAATTTTACTTAAGATTATTTTTATAGATATTTATATATCTTGCGTCTCAAACTCAAACCAAGTGGCACCTAAAACTTGGTACATTGCTAATGTCTCTACTACTGTTGAGACACAAACTCCTGAGGCTGAAATCCAGTCAGCTTTGCAATTGTTGGGCGCTATTACCGAAAAGTATTTGTTTAATATTTAATGATTCTATTTACTATGACATTTTGAAGGTTCGTAACGGTTTCTGACATCTACGAACCAATTGACATGGTAATTAATTTGAATTTTTGATTAAATTTTGAAATTATTTTCATTCAAACAGGGTTATAGCTCGCAGGTGTTTATCTCTCGATCGTATGTTTTTTATATTTTATGGACACTTTCCTAAGTTTCTCTCTAAAATGAAAATTTTTGATTTTACTGTTACGTTAAAGCTTTTTTTGTCCTCTATATTGGCCCACCTTTTTCTATAAAATTCCAAATTTTAAGTTTTGATGCTACGACTCACTTTGAGACTACTTGTTTGGATGTGCTTGACATTTTTAAGCGAGGCACTACAGAAGAATTTGACTTTACAAAAATTACACATTTGAGCTTAGAGGACAACAATGAGTAATTAATGAGGAAGTGTAAAATTGTGACAAATCCTATTGGCATTGATATTTTTGGGGAAGTATTTTTAAATATTTTTTTAAAATTAATTTACAAAACCTGAAAGGTTTTCTTTCTCTTTTTCTTTCCTTTCTATATATTGACAATTCTTTTTTAAATGGTTCCGGTTTTTAATTAAAAAACATCCTTTTTCGCATTCATTCTCTTCATGCTTTTTAATTTTAAGTGTTGCAAGAAAAATTCCAAACTCCTACATTAGTGATTTTTCTAATTGTAATTTGGATAATTTATAAATGCTTTCTTCAAAAATTTGGTGAATTGTTAATAATATTTTGTATTAAAATTTGGGTTTATTAGTAATTTTTGTGTTATAGAGCTTAATTATAGTGGCTGTAGGACCTGTGACCTAGATTTAAATATATACCATTCGATTCCTTCTACCGAACTGACAAGCAAACATCGGATACTGTTACAAAAATTTGGTATTTGGTACAAATCGAATGCTAACTCCTATTTCGAAGTGATTCCTATTGCGAAGTAATCCTAAAAAAACCATAGGTGGTAGATATCTTTGCGTGTTTTCGTTTCCTAGGAAAAAGGATTACATATTCGAACTCATCTCGGCGGGAGGAATCGAATGTTTATTTCGAATCTAGGTCTGGGGTCCCACGTACTATACCGACCCCATTTTAGTACTATCCAATGTCTAGTGGTCAACTCTCAACAACTCACTTATGTTCTTTATTTTTTTCCACCTTATTAATTTCTCAAAATTCTTTTATTATTTTTGACGTTTGGTTTTCGTCGTTGCTATGACATAACGTTTTCTTTTACTTAAGCCTTCCTATCTTTTTCACTCGAAGTTGAGGTGTTCTTGTCTCTTAGTATTGTATGTACATAAATTAAATTATTCATTTGAAAAACATAACGATTTAAGCAAAAATTAGTGTGTAAATAGGTCCTGATAATTAAAAATTAAATTTTTTCTTTGCCTTTCATTTTTCCTTAATTTCAAATCACCTACTATACTACATATGATACTAGAATTTTCTTTCAAATAATCGTGCAATTGATCATAACCTATTAACACGCCATTTAATTATCTTTCCTCCCTCATAGAATCTCTCTTGTTGCCTTTCTTATCATTTATGTATTTATATCGGTCCGTAACTTTTTAATAGTTTAACAAGAAATATATTTAACTCAAGAATTGAGGTTTGGCCACTATTCAATCTTTAATTTATAATTGAGTGATCGATTAACAAAAATCGCTAAAAATCAATTGCTTCTTTAATCACTAAACTTAAACCAAGTGTAATTATTCTACTGCCAGTACTAAATAACATATAAATTTTGTTTATGATGGAAGCTTCTTCCTCTTTTTCCGACAATGGATTGTCTGCCATTTCTGATAAAATCACCGAAACAGAAATGGAATTCTCTTATGAAACCCAAATATTTGACAATTCTGCTTTGAGGCATCGATGGGGGCCAAATCATGTTGGCGCAAAAAAATTGGCATCCATGTATGGGAGAGGTATGGGGATCACTCACTATAGGCTAAAAAGAATTTCTTTTTAAGGGAAAAGAGTTCAAGAATTGTTATGTATATGGTTCGGCACTGCTCTTTTTTTACTCCTTTTTATCTCCTTACTTCTTCACATACAACATATACAATTAGGAAAAATTCTTTTTGCAGCTATTTTTGGTGTTTTAGCAGCCGATTTTAGTTCTGGCCTTGTCCATTGGGGTCTTTTTATTGAAATTTTATTAAAGTTTGGGGATACTAATTTTAACATTCTCATAACAGAAAATAAGGTTAAAAATACCTAAATCAAATTTTACAATATATAATAAGGTTATTCACACTTGCAAATTTTTCAATTTTCATAATACCATCTAATTAGTTAAAAATCTGTAAGATGTTTAGGTTAAGATCTTATAGTTAGGTTATTATTTCAGATTTCCCACTTTCTAGTTTTTAGAGATTTCCGTCCTGAGGAATCCATTTTTTAAAATGGAGGAATCTATTTAAAAAATGAATCTCGGGAGAGTTATACTGGAAATGTTAGAGTTTTAACATTTAAAAAGACAATTTTTCTTTCCTTGTTTCGACACACCCCTGGAAAGTACAATAAAAAATTGAAATATTCAAAAATTAAATAGGTGCTGATACGTGGGGAACAGTGGACACATTCATTGGAAGGGTAAAGTTTTAATTTATTTTCTAATTTTTAATTACAGTCGTGGAAAAAAGTATGGAAGCGCTAGAAAATTTTTTCTTAATTCTTAATTTTTCATTCAAAAAATACGTTCTATATATCAATCGAAAGCTCTATTCGTATCTCAGTTGACATGTTTCTGCATTTTTCATGAAAATGAAAATTGGCCGAGATAATCCGGATCTACCGGATATACCAAATCCCACTTTTTCGGAAAAATTTTTCGGAAAAAATTTAACAAACCCAAATGATAAAGCATATTTTTGTGAGCATTTTCCACAAAACCGCTTAGAAATATCTTTTTCCGGAGCAGAGATATGATTTTTTAAAAATGGCATTTTTCGCTTAAAAATTGAATTTTTTGCAAAAATGGACGAAAAATGCCATTTTTAAAAAATCATATCTCTGCTCCGGAAAAAGATATTTCTAAGCGGTTTTGTGGAAAATACTCACAAAAATATGCTTTATCATTTGGGTTTGTTAAATCTGTTCCGAAAAATTTTTCCGAAAAAGTGGGATTTGGTATATCCGGTAGATCCGGATTATCTCGGCCAATTTTCATTTTCATGAAAAATGCAGAAACATGTCAACTGAGATACGAATAGAGCTTTCGATTGGTATATAGAACGTATTTTTTGAATGAAAAATTAAAAATTAAGAAAAAAATTTCTAGCGCTTCCATACTTTTTTCCACGACTGTATGTACTTATTTTAAGAATTTTATTCGTCCATTTCGTGAACATCATGTTGACCCAACAGCAATTACTAGGCACGACTTCATTGAAGTAAATGGTGACAATTTTATGTTATGTATTCCAAAACTTACACAAATTGCTTGGCAACACTGTACTTCACTTCCTAATGAAAAAGGAGAATTAGAAGAAGTACTAGCTTGGCATTGGTTTTGGTTTCTTTTCGGCGTTTATATCGCAATGACTAATCAAGTAGTTAATTAAATTTGGAATTAAAATATAATTATTAGATTCATAAATGGTCGCACAGCTATACTGGACTTCCTACTTGGGTTTTGGCATTGCAGGTGTTTATTTTATCTAATTTAAAAATGGGCTTTAAAACTTTCATCCTATGAAAATCTTAATCGAAAACACCACATACATATTTAACATTACAAACAATATAAGACAATTACTATATACAATTTACATTTAATATATACATAATCATAATCCTAATATCACTACATCTATATTTACTTCTTTTTATCTTCTGGGGGATTGGTCTTTTTATCTTCTGGGGGATTGGTCGTCATTTCTTTTTCTGCAGCTCCCTTCTTTTGCTTTTCCTTCACAGATTCTATGTTCATGATTTTTTTGTCAGATGGCATGTTCTCGATTGTATCGTCATATTCCACAGTGCTCCCATCTTCTTCGTCTGACACAGCCAATGTTGTAAACAGACTTTCTTCTGTTTGAACAGTTTCAGACCTCACCTGAAAATTTTTTTAAGAGTTTTGGTTTTATACACAGGCATCAAAGAGAAACTTGCCTCAGGATCACTTCCAGTCACATCAGCGGACATTCGTCTGAAGCTCGCTGAACTTCCTCGCTGCCAATCAAAAACGCAATTTGCATCTGGGTCTGCCTGTAGGTCTTCATTAAGCCATTGGACGAGAGAATCGTAGTTGGGCTCATCAACAAATCCAAGCGGGGTCAAGTGCTCGATGATACGTGCGAAGGAAGGTGGACAACCCTTTAATGGCAACAAAATTTCTGTTTAACTTTTAGCCAAACAATTTACCTCAAGCAGCTCGGCACTCGTAATGCTCTCCTTCAAAGTCTGGCACTGTCTTGGTTTGATCCCAGTCCACGGCAACTTCCGCTTTTTGCATTCGATCAGCGTGTACTGTAAAAAATTTTTTTATAGTTAAGCATTAGAAGGGCAAAAAAGTTTGACATACCATAACGCTCCAGATGTCATCCACTCGACCTTGATCTATGCACTTTTGAGCGTTCAACGAGCAGTAGCGGTAGGTTCCACGAAACGCGACCTTAAAAATCAAGGCTTAATACTGTTTTTACCATCTCTCATTTCACCTTCTTGCGGCGCGGCCTCAACGTTGTCATGTTCTCATCAGTGTAGATGAGGCGCGCCAACCCAAAGTCAAACAAGTAGATGACATCCGCTCGCTTGTGACCTGCAGCGATATTTGCCGGCTTTACGTCACGATGAATGAAGCCTGCCCGATGAAGTGCGCCAAATGCCTGTAAAATACCGATATTTCTTTAGATTTTTTTTATGAGAATTCCTTCTCACCTTCATAAGCTGGATGCCAATCCGAAGAGTTGTGACTGTCGAGAACTTGCGCTTTGGCTGCATCCGGCGTAGGTCGTCAATCGGCTTTCCGAGCAAGGTCATCACAACGTAGCTGGAAAAATGAACAGTTAAACATGTTTAAAAAACAAGTATTGTTTCAGTACGTGAATTCCGCAGTCTGTCCCAGATTGTAGATTGTACAGAAAGAAGGGATGCCTTGAAGCTTCTTCAGGACCCACACTTCCATCCGAAGAACTTCTTCCTCTCGGTGCTTTCTGCGTTTCTCCACCTTCATTGCCGCATAGCCAAACCTCTTGCTGCCCTTCACTTCAGTCCTGACCAGGAATACGCTGCCAAACGCACCAGTGCCAATCAAGGCTTGAACAGACCATATGCCGATTGTCTTTGGGATGTTGAGCTTGCCCATCTGAAAAATCGTGAAAATTTACCGATTAATTGAAAGACTAAAAAATGAAAGTAGTAACTTACATAGGAAATGACGAGACTATTGTAGTAGGCTGGAACAAGTGAATAGAAGAATGGATGATTTCGAAACTTTGATTTTCTAGCTTTTATACCCACTATTCAGGATCTCCTTCAAACCAAATAATATTAAATTTTGCTGAAAAATATTAAATTAAATTAGAAACATGGTGGGTGATATTAAAAGTTTTGGAATTATCGAATCAAAAATAGATTATTAGGAAAAATTTGCAAAAATTCACCAAAGATTTTTAAAAATATTTTTAGAGATTCCAGCTGATTCTACCTAGGCATCACCATAAAATGCATCATATTTCTCCTCATGCTTGCCGCTACTGGTGAATTTTAATTCATTTTAATTATGTATATTAAATCTTTTAAAAGTATAACAACTGGTTGGCTAAATCCATTACTCGACGCTGTAGGTTTCTGGCGAAGATTAGAATTTTGTGTTAGTACTTTAACTGGTTGGAAGCCTAGAGATGATGATTTAAGATGGGCCTTTAAAACAGAATAATTTAATTTAAAAAATCTTTTTATTTTTGCACAATAAATTAAAAATAATTTTACTACAAAATATTGATTTTATTAACTTTAAGCTAATATTTTTGCTTTGGAAAAGCCAACTAGTAAGGGAAGAATTGTTAATAATTAATTATTTTTCTGGACATGTTACTTTTATTCTCGTATATATTTTTTGTTTAAAATTTTTTATTTTTAAATTAAAACTTAAAAAACAAAATTTCTTTATTATTCCGAAATAAAAAATAATTTTTGGACATTTTCTCAAGCTGTGAGCATCTTTAGTATTTTCACAACAATCCAAGGGAAGAATGGCCGGTAATAAAATGAGCAGTCTACTATGTATGTAGTATTTTACCCATTTCGGGTAATAAAAAAAGTATTCAATTCCTATCATTTTATTTTATTACATTCACATATGTCACAATTCTTAATAAAAATCTTCAGCAATTTATTAGGATTTTTTAAAATTGATTTTTTACTTCTTTTTTATTTTGAAAAAATTTAGAAAAATAATTTTTTAATTAAAAAAACAACAAAAATATGTAACATGTTTAAATATTTTTAAATTAAAAAAAACAAATGATTGGTTACGTTCTTGAGAATTTGTCAAATAAAAAATTATTTTGTTTATTAGCAGCATTATTTTTTCTTCAATGTCTTTTCTTTTTGTTGGGAGCAATTTTTGGTTTTAAATATTTTTTAAATTAATTTTTAATTTTAAGCCCCCGGTCCTTCTTCTTCTATGGAATTTTTGCTTAGTGCTTGTAAAGATAGAGATGCTGGTAAAACCAGTAAATGGTTCTATTTACGGCCAGATAGAGGGGTAAATGATAATTAATATTTAATTAAAATAAATTAATGCTTAATTAAAGACACAAAAATGTTTTTGGAAAAAATCTTATAGCTTTTTAAATAATTTAAATTAGGCTATTATTTAAATATTTTTTAAAAGAATTGTGAAATTATTCATGACTTGAGGCATCATAATCCAACAACAGAAGATGCTCGTGATTTAGTATTTGTGGTAGATTAATTAATTTAATTCTTCAAAAATTAAATTATCAAAAATAGGCACAAATGCCACATATGAGAGATGGAATACAATTAGAATACTCTCCTCTTTTTCAATTTTTATTGGGTTACTTAGATGTTAATTTTGAGTTTACACCAGAAACTAAACCTGTTGGTTAGTTTTTAAATTTTTTTTTGAAAAGAAATAAAAAAATTTAAAGAAAAATCTGTTTTAATGGAATTTGAAGTGAGAATTGGTTATAAAGAAAAGGGAGAGGATAGTCCTGAAAATTGGAAAGAATTATTACCTGTTCAGAGAATAAGGAGAACTACAGAATGCCTAATTGATGAAAATGTGAGAAATAAAAAAAATTTTGTTAAAAATTATTATTTCTTTTAGCAACATCCCGGTTTATCTTTCAATTGTTCACTTGTAGATTTCTTTCAGGCATTTTAACTTAAACATTTTCTTCAATTTAAAAAAAATATTTAGTTAAGCTCTGTTCAACATCCATTTTATCTTTTAAATATTCGAATCCCAGCAAATCAAAGCCTTTGCTTTTCTAAACATTTAAAAGGCCCAAATTGTGCATTTCCAGGTCCTTTACGTGAACTTAGATTAATTGTAGGTTTTTTGTTGTTGGTGAAATTAAAAAATAAATAATTTAAATAAAAAGACAATTCATCAAAATGGGGGGTTTACTGTTGTTTGGCTATTTTTGAAAACAATTTTATTTCCTTTGGTTTTTGTAATTCTTCGTTGGTATTGGAAGAGAATTAAATCTTTGCCTAGAAATGCTGTTTTAGTTGAAAAGGCAATTGCTGTTTTGGGGGTTTCTTTGCTTATACTTGATTGTAAATTTTTAATTTTAAAGGATTGGAAATGGATATTTGGGGATATTTAGTAGTTATTAGATTATTTTGGAAGTTTTAAAAATAATTATTTAAATTAGATGCTGGGGGGGGGGGGGGGTAAAATATTAAATATCAAAAAATTCAATGATAATTTAATTAAAAACATCTATTAAAGTTCCAATAGAATGGTTATCTCTTTGGATAAATTTACCTGCTATTTTATTAATTAGTGATATTAAACAAGGATTATTTTATGCAATTCTTTTTTCTTTTTGGTTAATATTTTGTGGAGAACATTTAATTGATGATCCAGCAAGAAATAATTTGGTAGTCTTTTTTAACTGAGAAAATTAATTAATTTATTTTTTAGTTCAATTATTGGCGTAATTTGTCTCTAGTATTAATTTCTTGTTTTTCATTACTTATTTTTGATATTTGTGAAAGGGGCCGTCAATTATCTAATCCATTTCATTCAATATGGTCATCAGAAGATGGTTATCCAAATATTGCTTTTGTTTCTATTTTTCTTGGAATTTTATCAATTTTTATTTATTTTGTGTTTCTTTGTTTTAAAGTTTATAAAGTTTGGATTGGAATTAGGTAATTATTTAAATAAAAATATATTTTAATTTATTAAAACCGAGAATTTATATTACTCAATAAATCTTTAACTAAGAGAGATATTCTCATTTAAATTATTTTATTATTTTTTCTTCTTAAATATTAATTTAAACATTCGATTAATTTATTTAAAATATATATTTTTTATAGATCAAAACGTGAAGCACAATTATATCATTTAAGGTTTAAAAATTCTAAAGAAAAATTTTTAAATAATTTTTTTAAAAGTGAATCCCGTCGTTTTCGTGTAGAGAATGTAATTTATCGTTTTAAATTTTTGATGATTTTAACTATTTTTTGTGCATTTACAACAATTTTTGCATATTTAATGCAAAGACAAAATGAAGAAAATTTTAATTTTTTTGAACCAGAAGAATTTGAATTAATTGAAAATAAAGAGGAGGGAGAAAATAATTATTATTTAAATCAAACATTTTTAAAAAAATTAATTTCAATCTCAGCAAGTGCTTTTTTAATTGGAATTTTTGGACAGTGGAATTTATATGTTTTGTTATTATTAGCTTTATATGCACCTTCACATAAACATTTTAATAATTTAAATTTACAAGGTACTTTAATATTTAAAATAAATATTCTTAACTATTATGGGTAAAGGAAGGGAGGAGGACAAGGAAAACTTAATAAAATTTAAATTTTTGTTAAACTAGTTTTTATTTACAAAAATCCCAATCTTCCCTTAATTCTTTTGAAAAATAAAAATTTAATTTTTAAAAATTTTATTTGTTTCTTTATATGTAGCTTTAAATAATGAAGATAATAATGAGGAAGAAGAAAATTTTAATGTTGGAATAGATGCAACCCCATTAACTACATTTTTAAAACAAGCAACAGATTAATTAAATAATTTTTTAAATAAAAATCTCTTTTATATTAATTTTTAAATATTTTTTTTTAATTTAATAAAAATAAATTTAAAAAAATATTGTTTAAACAAATTACCTAAGTTGGGCCGTACTGCAGAAAAATATGTACATATGTCACCTTTCTCAGAAAACTTTTTTAACTCACAAGGGTATTTGGATTTATAATTATAATTTATAATCACAATTGGATTTAATGCCACGAGTTAATAAATGAAAAGTTTTGCCTTAATTTTTTAAATTAACTTCCAAACTATTTACTCTTAAAAATATATTTGTGCTAATTTATTTTGAAACAATATACGTTTTTTTATTTATCTCATTTACTGACCTGTTTATCTTTTTTAAATCGATCCTCTTCGTTAAAATACAATAAATTACTAATTAAATAAATAATCAAAGAGAGATTATTTTCTTAATTTAAATTAAAAAATGCTTTATTCTTTTTTATTTTTAATTTTTCTTTTTTTATTTGTTAAAAGTCAACGTTGTCCTTTCTTTGGGGAATATGAATGCCCAATTGGTTATGAATGCCAATTTGATCGTTGTTTAGATGAAATGGGGAAAGAACCTTATGGGGATTGTTTAAAGGTTTTTAGAGTTAAAAATTGTTTGTGAATACTTAAAAGATTAAACGTGGAAGAGATTCTGTCTGTACAGATGCTGGGAAATGTATATCTTTTTCTGGAAGACTTTGTGGCCGTAATGTATTGGTAGGGAAGGGATTAGCACGTACTATTGTATCTGACTGTGGGCCAAGAGGAAAATGTATGGGTGGACGTTGCAGTATTGATAGTTAAGAGAATAATAATAATTAAAATAATATTTTAAATTCTGTGTGTGATTTTAGAATAGTTAATATTCTTTTGTTAATGAGGAAATAGTAATATGTAGTTAATCCGTCAGGGAATAATAATAGTTAATATGTACAGTAGTTATTATGTAGTTTTCTGTCAACAAAATAAATTGACGGTACTAGTTTTTGATTGACATATAGTAAATCTGTCTCAAGGAATCAGTAAAGATGAAGGAATTTAAGGACGTACAGGAAATTAAACAAAATTAAGTAAAAATATTTTCTAATTAAATTTCAATTTTTCTCAAAGAATGTGCCGATATTCTTTGTGACGAAACAAATGAAATATGTCGTGATGGAATGTGTATGTCCATAACATCAATTTTATGTTTTTCACCTTTTGATTGTGGTCCCCCATCCTTTTATGAATGTAAACAACAAAAATGTCAGCGTCGTTTTGATACTTTAGGACCTGTTTTAACTCATCCTTCACCAAAATGTGATCCTGGGGAAATTTTAAGTGGAGATAAATGTGTAACAAATGATGGAGAAGGTTATAAACTTAAAGATTAATATTGAGTTTGACGTTTTTAGCTTGTACAAGAATTGTTTGTCCTTCAGGGAATAGTTGTTTTAATGGACTTTGTATTCCTTCAAGTGGAACAAATTGTGCTAATTCAGGGGAATGTCCAGATTTACATCTTTGTCGGGATGGACGTTGCGTTTCTGATGTTTGTGCAGCAAATGGAAAAGTGAAATGTCCCCCAGAACATGCTTGTTCCCCAACAAGCAATCCTGAAGGAGAATGTAGACATTTTCAAGTAAATAAATTAAAAATAAAGATATATGTAAATATTAAATAAAGGGTTTATTGTGTTCACATACAGCTGCAATTGAAGATTGTCCTCCACCTTATTATTGTATTGGAGGTATTTGCACAAAAGACGAATGTTATAGAAAAGCTTGCCAAATTGGTATAAATAAATATATTTTATTATAATTAATTGTTTAATGAAAAATTCTTCAAAAAATATTCTTTGTAATAAATTAATTAAATGCTTATTTTAAAGGCGAACGTTGTGATTCTGGAATTTGTTTAAGAATTGAAGGTACTCCATGCCGGGATGCAGCCAAAGAATGTGGAGAACAATTTACTTGTGATAATGGTATTTGCCGTGATCAAATTGATGTCCAATCGACTACAATATTCCCTTTTAATAATAACAATCCTTCTATTAAATCTTCCCAATCTGGGGGGATTTGGAGTTAATTAACATTTTGTTTAACTCATTAAAGTCTTTCTAACTTTTTAACACTTTAATTGCAATCAGGCTTTGCCAAATAAGTTTAACTGAAGAATGCAAAATTAAATTATTATTTTTTAAAATTTTTTTGCAATTATTAACTTGAAATTATTTATTTTTAATTATTTTTTTGCCATTGATTACTAAAAAGTTTTTTTAAATAAATAAACATTTTTATATTATTTTATTTTCTTCAGTCCTTATTAAAAAAAGTACTTATGTATTAATTAATTAATTAGCGTTTAACTAATAACTTTTTTTAAATGATGGATAATTATAATACATATATATTTACTTTTTTATTTAAAATATAATCAATCAAAAATATACCTACATATAATCACAATCACACAAACAAATCTCGCACTTAAATGAGAACAAAAAATATTAATTATTTACGAAAATTCATCAACTAAAAGAGTGGTTTGGTACTTAATAATTTGATAAAATAATGACTGTTAGGCGAGTTATTGCTGTTAGGCGACTAAAACCCGCGCGATCGCTGAACGTGAATTGATATTTTTGAGAAGGAAAAAATTAATAATAAAAATAATTTTGTTTTTAACCTCTCCATTTTTTGAATAAAAAATCAGCAAAAATATATTTATTTAAAATTAAATGAAAGTTAGTAATTTACTTTTAGAAAAATCTAATCCTTTAATAGAACAATCCATGACAGAATTAAAAGTACAAGTTGATAGAAGAAGATTAGAAGCTATGATTATAGGTAATTTATTTTTTGGTGTTGATTTTTATTAGAGACTGAACCGAGACGAGATCTCGATTCTAGTATACGACCCTCCCAGTCCGATCTCTCATTTTTATTTTAAAATTTAATCAAAAAATACATATTTTAGGTGAAATACAAGGTGAAAATGCTGAAACATTTTTTAATAGAGTTGAGAAAATAACTGGGGCAAAAGTTTATTGGCCTTCGAGATTGAAGATTAAAGCAAAAACAAAAAAAGGTGTTTAATTTGTTTTTTATAAATATTTATGACTAAACCTAATCAAAAAACCTTCGGATATATAGAGGGTAAGTTGTGGCAGTTATTTGTTTTCCATTATTAGCAATAATATTTCTCAACTTTTAGTTTTATTATTTATAAATATCTCTCCCTTATTGTTATTTTAAAATAAAATATCAACAATTAAATATGTATGTTTATAACCTAAATTTTAGTTTTATATTTTTAATTTTAAAAATATTTTTAGATGTTGTTATAAAATTAATTGGAAGTTCTCTGAACATTCAAAAAGCTGCTCTAATTATTTCTGAAAGATTAAGAGTTAGGGTAAAAAATATTATTGAAATACTAATAATTAAACTTTAAAAAAAAAGAAAGAGAAAGCAACCCTCAAAATGGAAATTAGCCATTGTCTTCATTCACAAGTTATTGGACGTGCGGGTAAAAATACACAACAAGTATAAATTATTTTTAAGAAAAAATTTATTTTTTATTTTCCTTTAATTAGATAATGAGGGATACTGGTTGTCATATTCATTTTCCAGATTCTAATAAAGTTTTCTTTTTTAAATTCTCTCATAAATAAATATTTAAATAAAGGTATTAAGTCCAACATTGCCTCAAGCAAAGAATGATCAAGTTTCAATATCTGGATGTGTTAAAGATGTTGAAAAAGCTAGGGAATTGCTTAGAGTTTTTCTAAAAAATAAATTTTAATTTTAAAAATTTTAAATTAGGCAAGTGGCCCTCTGACAATTTCTGTAAATATACAACTATCATTATCGAGAAGTGTTCGTGCTATTCAACCACGACTAGATCCAGGTATGTAATTTTTAGAATAAGTGAAGATAAGTGAAATTTCTTTATAATTTTGAATAAATGAATTTTAGGTTATAAATAGAGAATAAATAATTTTTTGTCCAATTCCATTTATTTAATTATACTAAGTTAGTAGCATATTTTAATTATTTTTGTATCTTTCCAGTTTATTTACAACGTCATTTCAATCCAAATAATTCAAATAACGACTTAAATATCCAATTTAGTCCGTGTGGATTAGGGCCATTATCTTTTGGTTCTTTACATTTTGTAATGCGTTCAAGTACTCGAAATGAATTAGAAATGCTTAGAGCTTTTGGAAAAATATGTCAATTAATTGGAATTTTTGTTTAGAAATTTAATAATAATTTAAAAAATAATTTTTTAATAATTTTAAAGCCAACGGGAGAAGAACTTTTTTGTTATTCACAATTTGAAATTAGATCATCCGCTTTGCCTTCTTTAAGTGCTCTTAGATGGATTGCTTTTAGGTTTTTTTAGGCATTTTTAAATTATTTTGAATTTTAAAATTAAATACAGAACAAATACACAAATACAATTAAATGCCCAAGGTTTATTAATATCTGGACCGTTAGAAGGAATTTTTGTGGCAAGAAAGTTTATAACGGTAAAGGAGAAAATAATTTGCTAAAATTATTGTTAATTAAAATTAAAACTTTAATTGACATTAGATATTTGAAATTAAAAAATTATTTTAAAAGATTATTTATTTTTTAAAAATATAAAGGGTTTATTGCCTGTATCTCTACAATTTGAAAAACCAACAGAAGTACCAACTCCATCAAATTCTTTATTAAGAATATTAGAACGTGAATTAGATTTACAAATTTCTGAAAAAAGAAAACGTAAAATGCCAAAAATAAATAATGAAAAGGAAAGTGGAAATGATGAAAGGGAATATATTATTTGTACTTATGAGGTAGGTAAATTAATTAATGTTAAAATAATGAGAGAGATTAACAATTCTCTTTCATTATAACAGAAATTAACGAAAACTCTAAATTATTAAAAAAATTAAAGGCAAATTTATTCAATGTTTATCTGGCTAGAAATAAACTTCTTCAATTAAATAATCAAAATAAAATATCAGACTCTCCAGAAAAATCCAAAGAAGAAAATGCTGATTCCGATGACCAGTTTCCTCAAGACAATGACAGAGCCGCATTAATGCGTAGTTTGTGCCGTGAAAGTCTTTTGATAAGTTTTTTTAATTTTTTTCCCAAATCTACTAAATGTTCAAAAAAATTTCTAAAATTTTACTAAGAGGCCGTAACTAAGGAACAGTGACTAATCGTAAATTTTTAGAAGAAAATAATTTTGTTCTTAAATAGGTATATATTATTTTTAAGCAGATCAACAACAACAACAACAACCATTAATATCTCCATCTAACTTTTCACTTTCTGTTAACGAAACAAAAGGATTTATAAATACAAATAAAATGGATTGGGGAAACCAATTAGAAAATATTTGTAAATTAAATTTATTAGAAGAAGACGGAGAGGGTGGGGGACCTAAATCACCAGATCCTCAAGTAATCTTTTTTAAAAATAAAAATATAGTTTATATTTTAAAATAAAGGAATCGCCAATAGCTGCTGGATTACTTGCGGGGGCTAAAAGTGTTAATTTACAAAAAGGAGAATTTAGAAAAATTTTGGATCGAGAACGTTTAAGGCTTAGAAATACAGCAATTAATACAACAAATAAATGTAAATAAAAATTTAATTTTAATTTAAAAATAATTATTTTTAAAGCAATTTTTGTTAATGAAAATAATTTAAATAACAAAAAAGAGAAATTAACTTCAAATGATATTTGGGCAATTTATGGGTTTAGTAGTTCTTTACCAACAGAATTATTTAGTAAAATTTCTAAAAATAATTCAAAAAATATTTGGAATGAAGAAGAAAATAAAATTAAAGGAAGGCCAATTGTTGGTAGAGGAAATGAAGAAGAATATTTAAATAAAGAAGAGGAAGAGGAAGAAAATAAAATTAAAGAAGAAAATTTAATTAATGAAAAGGTAATTATTTATTTTTAATAACCTTATATATTTTAGATATTTCCTTTTAGAGTTTTTACCCTAAATGTGTTTAAAAAAATAATTTTTTATAGAAATTGCCTCCTATTTTTAATGAAAATATTCTTCCTCCACCTCCTCCAACATCTTCTTCTTCTCAATTATTAAATTCTAATATTTTTTCCACTTCCACTGAAACATTTCCAACAAAATCAACAACAAATAATTTAGATAATCAAATATTAATTTCTGAACAAGAAGGAGATGATAAAGAAGAAAATAATAAATTAAAAAATCAATTAATTGAAACAAAAAAAGCAACAGCACTTGTCCATCCTCGAGTAGCAGCTTTACAGGCTGGAGAACAACAAAAAAGAGCTCCAAGTAGTTGAATAATTAAATTAAAAATATTTTATTTATTTTTAAAAGAATTTGCAATGAGTGCAGGAAATTCTTGTCTTTTCGAGACTTCTACAAATATTATTACTCCAAATTTCTCCAAAATTCCTAATGAAAATAAATCTTCTAAATTTCAATTAAATGAAAATAACAATAATGAATGTACTCAACAACAATTACTTCCTCCTCCTTCTCCAACTCCTCCTCCTTCCCCTCAATGGGATATTCGTGTTTTGACTGAACCTTCTTCTGTATTAACACAATTAGGGTTATCTGAACATATTAATTTATTTCGTGAACAAGAAATTGATATGCAGGTAAAAAGAAAATTAAAAGAAAAATAATTTTTTTAATTTTTAAAGGCATTTTTATTATTGGATGAGCCTTGTTTAAATACTCTTGGAGTATCCACTTTAGGTGCTAGAAAGAAAATAATGCATGCTGTAACAAGTAAAGATTAAAATTAAATTAAAATAATAATTATTTTTATTAGAATTACGAGAATCAGCTCGTCGTTATGGAATTTACTCACTTTAAATAATTATACTTATTTTAAATTTTAAAATTAATTAACTAAATTTTTAGATTGTATTAAATAATAATTTTTAAATAAATAAATTAGTTGTTATTAAAATTTAAATTTATAATTTAATTTGGTTAAATAATAAAATTAAATAATTTATATTTTAACTTGAATTTATATTTTAATTTGGAATTAAAAATTTAGGTGAGGTTAAATAATTAAATTGAATGTAGGGGATATTTTTTGCATTAAAATTAAAAATAATTATTCTAAATATAACTTCTTTTTTAAATTTATTTTTTATTCTAAAAAAAAACTAAAAAGGAAACAAATTTGAAAAAAAAATATTTTTTTTCTTTACTTTTTACAAAATTAATATTACAAAAATATAATTATTTTGCGAAAAATTACTAAATAGTTACAACTTAAATTTAATTTTCCTTTTTCCGATGTCGAGATGCTAAAATTAATTATTTTCCCAAAAAGAAAATTCAAAAAATTTTTAAATAAAATGTTTTATATTTTAATTATTTTATTTTTATTAATTATTCAAAATTTGGCTATAAAAAAAGAAAAATCTGAAATTTATAAAAGGTTTTTAAATAAATAAATAAAATTAATTTAAAAATTAAATTAAAGTTTAATTAAAATTAAAAATTCTTCTCCGTTAAAAGAAATAAAAAGAAATAATATTTGGAAAAAGAAGAAACGTCATTCTTCAATATCAAATGTTTTAATTGAAATGGGTAAGTAAATAAATGAGAGGGGAGGGAGGTAGGGAGGGAGGGAGGGTTGGAGGGAGCGTGTCGGGCTAAAACGCGGAACGGATAGACACGGAACGACAAAACACGGATGTACAAAACGCGGTCTTACCAAAACACGGAACGGCCAAAAGGCCCAAACACGGTCCAGAGAAATAATAATTCTTTGATTATTCGTTTTTTTTTTGTCCCTCACCCGTTTTGCCTTTCATCCGGGAGGGAGAGAGATATTTTTAAAAAATTTAATTAAAATTACTTAGCTAATTGTGAACATATAGCTTTAATTGACTGTAATGATTACAAAAATAAAGATATGGAATGTATGTTGACAGCAACAGGGATGATTTGGTTTTTAAATTTAGATTAAATTATTTTTAAATTAATTTTAGTTGTATATGTAAAGAACGTTTAAAATTGAAGAGACACAAAAATTTAAAGATTATATAAAATAAATAAATAAATAAATATTTTTTTAAATTTTATTTTTAATTTTATTAAACTTTAACTGTAATAATAAATACAGTAATTTATATTTTAAAAATAATTGACGTTTTGTCTACTTACCTTTTTGACTGTTTAACAATTTGACATGGGGACTTTTGAGTATTGCCAGATTTTGTGTTCTTTGTTATTTTTCGACAATTATTTAATTTTTTAATTTTCTAAAAATTTTTTTAGTTTTTTTAAATATTTTTTTTAACTTAAAAAGAATTTTATTTTTATCAAAAAATGCAACAAATTCCAGAGGATGTAATTAAAAAATTATCTGATTTTGACAAAGCTTTGACTTCTTTTGAAGATGCTTTAGATAATCATTTAAATTTACAACAAAACGAACATGTTTTCTTTTAATTATTTTTTTTAATTTTAACTAAATTTTTAGACTTCAAATTTGGATAAAGCAAAATTCGAATTGGCTACTCTTTTTGCTGTAAATTCTCTTTATTGGACTTATTTACATTGCAAAGGAAAGGATCCTAGTCAAAACAGTGAACTTGCTGTTGAATTGGTTTTTTTTAAATTTTGTTTTCCAATTATTAGGGTATTTACGTTAATTAGGATTTTAATTTATTTAAAATTAAAATTAATTTAAAGTTTTCTTTTAAAGAACAGAACAAAAGAATATATTGCAAAATTAAAACAATATGAAGATTTAAATAAAAGACCGAAATATGATGGGAAAACTGTTGGGCGTTTTGTTAAGCATGCTTTGTTTAATTTAAATGAGGACAGTCAAAATAGTAGAAATGATGAGGTAAATTTAAAAAATTATTTTTATGTGACTAATTAAGACAAAAATAAATTGATTTTTTCTTTTTTTTTTAATTTTTCAAAAATTTTGAAGATTTTTTTTTTCTAAATTTATTTTTTAAGAAATTAATTTTTAGTTTTGCCAATCTTCAATTAAAAACCAAAAAAACAATTCTTCTTTTACCAATTGTGAGGTTACAGTTCTTTCTGATAATGAAGAAGAAGGGCAAGATGATGATGATGATATTGAAGTTATTGAAGATAAAGAAGAAGGAGAATTAGAAGAAATTCCAAAAAAGAAATTTAAAAAAATTTAAAATAAAAAAAAATATACAAAATTTTAATTGATTTATTTAAAGAAAATATAAATAAATGTTGATATTAAAGGTTAAAATTATTTTCTCAAAAAAATTCCTTATTTTAATCCCTAATTATATCCGATTGTGATTTATTTTCTGATTTTCAAATCTAAATATTATTTAAAACATTATTTTTATTAAATAAGTGCCCATTAAGGTGTTTGGGTTTTCTTTGATTTTCATATTTTGACAGAAGTAAATTGGGTATTGAATTAATAAACGTTATTTGAGCCTTAAACTTAAAATTTCCAAAAATAACTGTAGCCGTATTTAGCCATCCATCTCTTTTCATTTAATTTTATCATGTTGCCATTTTGTTTTTATAATTATTCGTTTTTTAAATAAAGTAAAATAAACGTTAATGCCGAGATTGTATATAAATAGGTAATTATTTTTCTAATCATAAGCAAATTGTTTTTGCATAAGGATTTTTTTAAAAACGTTTACTGCCAAAATCACTCACTGCCCAATTCATTCACTGGTGATATCACCAGACACGTTTCCTTTGCCTCATTCTCTATAAATTGGAGTATTCTTGTCCCATTTATCTTCACTTTTCAGTCCCATAAACAACATATCACCTTAAAAGAGCTTGAAAAACAAATAATTTCTAAAAGCAAATATATTGGGAATCTCTCTTTAACTCTTACTTATTTGTGTAACCTCCTTTCTTTTTTACAATCACAAAAAACTTATTTTAGTCATTGTACACAAATTCAAAATAATTTTTACATTACTAATTTTTTTGTTGAAATAATAAAATAGAATGTATGTAAATATATATTAAATATTTTGTTTTTAACTGTATTTTGTAGTTTATAAATTTTTTAAATCATTTTTATATTTTAGTAGTTTGTAAATATAATGTTTGTTCTGTTTTTTATAAATTTATTATATTTTTACTTTCCCTTTATATGTTAAGAATGGCCATTCTTTCTCCTTTTCTCAATTGCTAAAGCCGGTGACTCAAGGCACAGCTTATTTAAAAATAATTTTTTCTATATTAATGTCTCTAATTGAACTAGAATTCAGTTTAGGAGACCGATCTCGGAGCTAATTAAATTTCTGATATTTAATAACTTTGGGCCCGCCCTTTTTGATCCAATTTTATGTCTAGAATAGTACACGTTATGTTATCAAAGAAAAGTAACCTAGATAATTTAATAAACTTAATTTTAAAATAATTTTTTGTTAAATTTTATTTTTTTGCACAAATCCATTAAATAAAAAACACGTAAGTATTACTTTACTTAGTTAATACATATGACGCTATTTATTTTACATTTAATTAATTTTATTTATTTTATGGTTACAAGAATTTTTATTTCTATTTTTTTATTTTAAATTAATTAGGTATATTAAATAAAACGCTATTTTTGGATTTTTCCAGTATAATAAAAATTAAATAAAAAATTTTTTTCAACATTTTTTTCTCTTATAAAATCTCATTTACTTAAAAATAAATTTACTTTTTTTTTTATTTTTTGATCATTTAAATAAATTGCAAAATATTTTTTTAAATTTATTCTTTGTTCGTAAATAAATACCCTAAACCTTTAAATTCTTTAAGTGTTCCTCCTTTAAAAGAGAATTTGTTTACATTTTATTATTAAATATAAAATACTTCAAAAATTATTTATTTATAAATCTTGTCCACACCTTTCCAAATTCTTTTATTTTTTTCCTTTTACCAAACCAAAAAGGTATTTTTAAATGCTAATATGAAAATAAATATTTTAATTATTTTTGACGTTTTAAAATTTCCATTTCATTTATTTTCTTCATTAAAAATATTTTATTTTCTCTATTTTTGCATTTATTTGCATATTTTTCTCTAAATATATTCTAAAAATTAATTGAAAATTTTTTCCCATTTTTTCTATTTATTTTTAATATATTTTTGAATAAAAGCAATTACTATTGTGTTTTAATTCAATAAGTATATTTTTGCATTTTTAGGAATATTTTTTTTATTGGTAGGTGAATATTTTTAATTAGCTCCCTTTTTCCTTTTCAATTTTTGTTTTAAATTAAAATGAAATCTTCTGTGATGTTAGGTATTTTCAGAAAAATCTTTTTTTAATTAATTAATTAATCTCTCTCTACTAATTTATTAACTTCCTCTTTTTTCTTTTGTTTTTTAAATTATTCACAGACGAGAAAGGCAAATAAATAATACTTATTTTTTAGTTTTAAAAAAAGAAATAAAAAAAGGTTAAGGATTAAAATAATCTTTTGTGGGAGAAAAAATAAATAAAAGGAAGAAGCACTAGGTAGTGTTTGTAGGTGGTGGCTGGGCGGTTTGGTTTGGCTTCTACATATTTCTTTCTTCCCTTTTTTAATTTATTAAGAAAATTATTTTATTCTTCCATTTTTGGCAAACCCCAATTGTTTTAGTTTTTTAAAGAATTTTTTAAAAAACAAAAAAATTATTGTTAAAGAATATACTTCCTTTCTTTTTTGATTATTTTTATAAAATTTATAGTCTAGTGAATTTTTTTGAGAATTAAAGACAAATGCTAAATATCTCATTTGATGCAACTCGTCCAGTTGAGTTGTATACATTTTTGTGTATCAGTATTAGGTTTTTAGATTTAACCAATTTCGATTGAAATTTGGAGACTGAATTCAATAGGGCAATTTTAGTTGATTACTTCTTGATTTACTCCCAACAGATTTTTTCAAACGAACATTATTCGATTCAACTCGATGATTCGCGTCTAATGAACTATCATTTGTATTTTTTGACTCCACTTTAATTAAATATTAGTAATTTGAAGTAATTAAAAAATATCCTCAAAAATTAATTTTAATTAAATAATTTTAAGAATATATTTCCACAAATTTAAAGCTTTCATTTTATAAACCTAAAAATATATACACATATTTTTAACTTCCTTTTTTTTCATTTCCACGAATTTATTTATTTATTTAGTTTCAGTATTTTTTTTTCCTTTTTTTATTTTTTTACTTTCCGCATCCATCCACTTTCTTTGTTTCTTTTAAATAATTTAACTCTGCGCGCACAATTTTTAATTTTTTATTGCTCACCTTAACTTGCACGTTCTCCCCTCCTTTTTTGCTTAATTAAAAAAATATTCAAAACCTCCATATTTATTAAAGAAAATTTAAAATTAATAAATATATAAAATTTGTGCCCTTTTTTTAAATTAAAAAAAGTTTAGATTGGAAATTTTCCAAATTGTTCTCCAAAAATTATTTTTTTCTTCTTTATTTTACTTTAATTTTTTAAACTTTCCCGCAAATATTCTCGCACTGCTTTAAATAAATAAATAAATTCAACAAAATTTTACACAAAAATAAAAATTGTTAAAAAGTTTTGATTTTTAAAGCATTTTCTTTCTCCTTTCTTTCTCTTTCTCTCATTTTTTACTACGAGAAGTGCTAAATTTAGCAATATTTTTTTATAAAAAAATTAAAATTAATTAATCATTTTCTTTTGAATATTTATTTACGTTTTTATATACTAAATACAAAATAATAATTAAAATATTTTTTCCTTAATTTTTTTCAAAAATTTATTCAAATTCGATTTTACTTTTCCAAATAATTTAAAAATACAAAACAAAATCTCAATTAAATTAATTTTATTTCCACAAATTTATTTTTATTTAATTTCCTCCCCCTCCTTTAAATGTTCAATAATCATTAATTATTTTTAATCTTCCTTTAAAATCCTTAAATATTTAAATTAAAAATAATTTTAAAAATTCTTTAATTTTTGGTCATTTTAGCTTATTTTGGCTTCTTTAATTAAAAATAGCTTTTTTCTTTTTATTGACTTTCTTTTAATTTTTTGGCGCCGTTTTTTGAATTTTCTCGTTTCCTTTTATTATTTAGCTATTTCTCAAACAAAACACGCGTTTTTCTCATTCACTGATGCTGTTTTCTCGCTTTTCTTTTTAACATTTTTATTAATTTAAATGTCATGGGTCTCTAGAAACTATTAATTAATTGATAAAAAAATTATCAGTTAATTAAAAAAATCTTAATTTTTTTATATATTTTTATACCTTAATTTAGAAAAATAAAAAAAGTGTGTATATTTTTTAAAAAGTAATAAATACACTGAACAAAAATAGAAAGAAGGGAGGGGGGCAAGTGAAAAAAAAAAATTGTCGAAAAAAATAATTAATATATAATAAAAATAAAGTTAAAAAAAAGTAACATTCACATGCCAAAAAAAGAAATAAAATCTTTTCTAAAAACATAAGACCTTTAAACTCTTTTTTTTTAAATTGGTTCTAATATAAATACATATAAATATTTAAATAATTATATTTTAAATATAATCCATAAATTAAATAAATTTATTTTTTTGACAGAAAAAATATTTTTCTTCTAAAAATTATTTCCTGTTTGAAATTTTGTTTATTAAAATAAGAAAAGGAAATGTTCCTTTTTTTTGAGACAAATAATTTATTATTTTTAACTTCCCAAAATTTATAAACTACCTACCCATTTACATTAAATACTTAAACCTTTTAATTAAAAATTTCCTTTCTTTTAATTTACAATAATATTCAAAAAAAAGCGAAAGAATGTCCTTTAAATTCTTGAGAAAAAATCTCGATTGATTGTAAATATATACATACTCTCTGCATCAAAATAACACATTCATTTTACTAATTTTTACAAAATTCCATTAACTACAAAGTTTATCAAAAAGAAAACATTAAATTTAATAACTTGTCTCTTTTATCATTTCACATTTTTAAAATATCTTTATCTCGAAAAATCAAAACAGAATGAGGGTTAGCCACTTTTAAATTATTTAAATCCCACAAAATTCTATTTTAAAAATATTCCTATCAAAAAGCCGATAAAGGAAATTGAAATAAAAGAATTAATTAACATTAAATTTTTATTCATAAACTAAACTATCCATAGGTTGTATATGTATATTTTTATTTTTCCTCTTTATTTTTTTTTAATTTAATTATTTTTTTTCTATAACTATTTTATTTTTTATTTACTATTTTTAGTTGTTTTTGATTTTAAATTGCCAAAATAATTGCTACAAATAATTTGTTTTTAAATTAAATAAAAACAAAAAAAGGAAACTTTTTGAAGATATCAATGATTAAATAATTTAAAATATATCTTTTGTAATTATTTATAAGTGCATATTAAATTCATTTAATTTAAATTTATTTTGGCAATTTAAAAGTTCTTTTGTTTTAAATAAAAATTTAAAAAAATTTTAAATCTCGACATGTCATTTTAATTTAAAAATTATTTTAATTATGTTTTAAAACTACAAAAACGAGACATTAAAAGGAGACAACATTAAATAATTTATATTTACTTAACTACAAATAATTAAAAATAATTTTATATATTTAAATTAAATTATATTTACCTTCCATTAAAATACTTTATATTGTTCTCCTCCTCCCTTTTTTATTTAATATATTTATTTTGTCATTTCTAAATATTTTATTCAAATTAAAAATTAAATAATTTAAATATTTAATTTTAAAATAAATTTGTACTCTTTTTATTTTTTCTAAATTAATCGTAATAAATAAATATATTTAAAAATATATTCTCTCAATTTATTTCTTCTTTTATTTGTTTAGCTTTTTAGTTAATATTTTAATTTTTGTCTTCTTTCTCTCTCATTAATTTAAAAAAACTGTTGGGAGAGGAATGCTTTTCCAACCCTAAAAAGTCACCAAAAAATTTTTTCCCTTTTTTTATTTCCACCCATTTTGCACTTTATAATTAATATATATTTGTCTGTCTACTAAAGTATTTTTAAATTAATTGTGAAACAATTAATTTATTTAAAATATATACATATACACATTCCCCCTTTTTTTTAATATTTAATTTATTCTAAAATAATTTATTTCGAATTTAAAAAATATTTAAATACTTTACATAAATATTTATTTATTTATTTTACATTTTTTAAATAAATTATATAGTGAGTAATAAAATAATAATTATTATTACATATATTTTATTTTAAAATATTTTATCTTAAAAAGAAAAATTTAAAATATATATAGGGTGATTTTTAATTAATAAATTAATTAATTTAAAAAATAAAAAAAATTTATTAAATAAAAATTAAATAAATATTACATTTATTTTTTAATCATTGATCTTTTTTAAATTATTAATAAAACTCCCCCAAATTTTATTTTTAGTTTTGAATTTTTTTTAAAAATTTTCTTTTTATTTTAAAATTTACAAAAAATTCTTTAAATAATTTTTGTAAAATAACAAAATTTATTTCCTTTATTTTTTAAGACAAATTTTCACATAAAAGTTTGCATAAGGAAATAGAAAAATTTTGCCAACATTATTTATTTTTATTAACAAAAATTGTCTTTTCTTTAAAAAATTATAATTTATTTTTTAATTTTTCTTTAACAATTTATATAAAAATTAATTAATTTATTTTTCAGAATTTATTTAAAAAAATGTTTTGTGCAAATAACCACCAATTATCAACAGCTATTGGGTGTTTACCAACGAGTAGTTGTACAACTAATTCTTCTCAACTTCCAAAAGTTCGTTATGGAGCTTTTTTCTCTTCGGGAATTGTTAATAATTTATGTAAAGAAGAGGATGAACAAGCATTTTCTAAAAGAAAAAATTTAAAAAGATTAATAAATGATGAAAATAAATTAATTGTAGAAGAAAAAAGAGGAGGAGGAGGGTTAAGTAAAAGATTATTTGGAAAATTAATTCGGCTAATTTCTGTTAAAGGTAAATTTAAATTATTTTAAACAAAAATTTTCCAAATTTTTAAATTTTCAGAAATTCCATTTTTGGCAAATGTCAAAACATTTCCAAGTCGAGGAGAATCAAATAATGTTTCCAAAAAAATGGCTGCTAGATTGGCAGCAGCCCGCCGTCGTCGACAACATTCCTCTCAATCAAGTACTTTATCTGGTTCTTTCGAACCAATGCCAACAATTGAAGAAGAAAATGAAGAAAATTTAGAAAATAATAATAATGAATTAATAATTAAAGAATTTGTTGAAGAAATTATTTTAAATAATAATAAAAAATCTTTTGAATCAAAACAAATAAAAGAAACAACTACAGCAACAATTATACAAGTTGTTGCTTAAAAATTAATTTTTTTGAAATTATTTGACAAGAGACGATTTTTAATTTAAAAATGATTTTCTTGTAAATTTACCTATTTTTAATTTAATGTAAATATTTTTGAGAGATTTTTTTTATTAATTTTCGAGTTTTAGATTGCTAAATTAAAATGAGGAAAAAATATTAAATATTTTTTAAATCAAAGTTTCATTAATTTTAAAACAAATGAAATTTTGTTTTAAAAATTATGTAAATATATTTAATAATTCCTACTATATTTATTTTCATTTTTTTGTTTAATTTAGTAAATGTTTATTTTCACAATTTTCATCATCTGTAATTTTTTGTATGTTAAAATAAAGATTTTAAAAGATTAACGGCTCCTTTTTTCAAACAAAAAAACAAAAATTATTAATGTGGTAGTTTTTATTTTATTTAAAACTTTAATAAAAATAAAAAAAAGGTTAAGTAAAAGCAAAAAAATATTTAAATTTAAAGACGACTTTTTTGAATTTAAAATTTCTGTAGACTTTTTTAACCCCCGTTTGATTTTTCGTTTTAAGTTAAAATAACCTTAGTTAATTGCTAGTTTTCACTTTTATAAAAAAAATTTATTTTTAAAATAAATATTACAAAATTTATTGTTTTGAATGAGAAAAAAAATAATATTTAATAACATGCAATTCCTTGCAAAAATAAAGGATAAAATGAGTGAAATAAATGGGCATGAAAAATTAAAGTATTAAATTGACAAGTAAAAATAAATAAATAAATAAATATATTTATTTGACAAGTAAATTTTAGTGGATTTTGATAGGAGGAGTGTTTTTGAAAATATAAAATATTTCCAACAACAAATCTGTCAAATCCAAAAAAAATATTTTTAATAAAAGGTTTTGACATTTTTTTAAATTAATTTTATATTTATTTAGTTAATTTTTAAATAAATATATTTTTTCCAAAATTTAATTTAAATAAATTCCAAAATTTTTAACTTTTAAATAAAATTTTAAATAAAATTTAATTTTTATTCTCCAATTTTTGTAAGGAATATGGTTAATTTTATGATGTACTAAATAACACATCAATCCGATCATCTGAAGATGTTGGTTGGCTTGTTCAGCTTTATTTTTTTGATATTTATTTTTTAATAAAAAAATAACAATTTTTCGTTTATATCTTAATTTTTATTTTTAATTCTTCATGCATTTTAAATTAATTTTGAAAGGAAAATTTGTTTTCTTTAAAAAATTTTTTTTGAAAAATACTTATGACAATTTACATCCTTTTTTTGTAGTATTGTTTAAATAAAACTAGCTTAAAATTAAATTGTATATTATCTCTAATAATTAAGAGAAGGTAATCTACAAAAATATATATCAATTTAAAATAAAATATCAATTTAATTAAATTATTTAGCCCCAACTATATGTTTAATTTATAAAGGAATTTTGTAAATATAATTTGTAAATATTTTTCAAAAATTTGATTTTCTTTTCTAATTTTGAGGAAAATCAGGAGAATTATAAAAATAAATAGAAAATTATAATCTTCTAACTTTTTTAAATTAATTATATAAAGTCAAATCTCGATATAGCACGTCTCTCTCGGGGCCAAGTTGTCTGATCTTGTGTATCTAATTACTACTTAAATACAACAAAATGCCATCACTTATAAGAGGGAAAAAGAAAATAATTAATAAAAATTTAATTAATAAAGATAAGAAGCAAAATCAATTTAAAAGAAAAAAATCAAAAAAATTATTTTTAATAAAAGTAAGTTTATTTTAAATAAAAAGTTTAATTAGCTTTTTTTCTAATTAGACTACTAAAAAATTTAAATTACATTTAACATATATTTTAAATATTTTATTTAAATTTTTTAATTATTTTCAGCGTAGCAATCAATCTTTTACTCAAATATATAATTGTACAAATTGTGGAGAACCTATATTGGATAGACATTTAGCTCAGGCATTAATTTAATTATTTAAAAATTTAAAAGAATATTTTTGTTTAAATATAAAATGTTTTTAATTAATTAATTAATATAAATATTTAATTCAAAAAATTGTTTTAGAAAACTCCATTCTAAAGATTTTTTATTAAAATTATCAATTAAATTTTGTTTATTTAAAATATTTCCGATTCAATTATGTTAAGAAAAAGATCGAGACCTTCTAATTGAGGCAAACACTGGAATTAGTTTCTCTCTCTCCATCTGAATTCTTTTTTTATAAAAATTTTATTTTAAAACAAAAATTTTATATATTAATTAATTTATTTTTTTAATTATCTAAATAAACAAAAAAATTAATTACACGTATTCAATTTTAAAATAAAAATACTAAAAAATCCATAAAAATTAAGAAAAAAGAGGAGAGGGCTAGTGAATTAATTAATTAATTGACATTTATTTTTAAAAAAAATTAATATTTTTTATCTAAATTAATTTATTTAAAATCAATTAATTTTTAATTAATTAAAGATTTCCCCTGAACGTTTTTTACACGAATATTGTGCTCGCTGTTCAATTTGTAATTGCCCTCTAATTTTTGAAAATAACAAAAATAATTTAATTAATTATTCTTCTATAAAACCTCAAAAATGTTTTGAAAGAGAAGGAAAATTATTTTGTGAAATGGATTATTTAGAGTTAATTTAAATTAGATATTAATTTAAATTTAATATATTTTTTAAAGACAATTTTGTTCAACTTTAACAACTTTTTGTGTTGGTTGTAATTTACCTATACAATCTAGTGATTTTGTGTATAAATTAAAAGTAAATTTTGTTTAAAAATAATAAATTCCTTAAATCCCCCCTCTCAAAAAGAAAGGGGGTTTTTAATTAAAATAATCTAAAAAATATTTTTTTAAGTCAGGAATTGTTTATCACATTAATTGTCATCGTTGTATTCAATGTGGCCGTTTATTATCCCCAGGCGAACAAATAATTATAAATGAACAAAATAAAACAATTTGTTGTGCCTCACATTTTTTAATTAATGAAGACTCTTCTCCCTCTTCTTCTTCTTTATTATTTCCTCCTCAACAAAATAATTTAAATTTATTTTTAAATAATTCTTTAATTCAATTAATTCCTTCTTCTTCACAAACATTAAATAATAATAATTTAATTGAAATAAATAAATTTAATGAAGATAAGGTAATGTAAACAAGCATACATATATAAATTTACTCCCTAAGACTATGCAGTAGACGGCGTGGTGTAAAGCACGTCCGGATGAAGGCCCTTTGCATTAGCTAAAGTTGAAAAAAAATTTTTTAAATAATTTCTTTATTATTTCCTCCTCAGCAAAATAATTTACCATCAACAATTTAATCTTTTAAAATTAAGTTTTTACCATCAACAACTCTATACCCCCCCCTATAGCCCCCAGCTCTGCTTTACTTTAAAAAACAAATAAAAATTAATTAAAATTTAAATTAAAGCAACAAAATAAATTAAATGGAACAGAACTTGCAGAGAAAATATTAAAACAAAATGTTTTCAAAATGGCATTGGAAGAGATAAAAATAAATAATTCTCCAAAAAAATTAGAAAATAGTGGGAATTTTGAAAATAATTTAAATGAAAAGGTAATTAATTAATTATTTAAATTTAATATTTTAAAATTAAGTCTTTACCATCAACAACACTTTTACAAAATAATTTAACAAGCAAATCTACAACAACAATATCAATTCAAAATAATTTAAAGAAAAAAGAGAAAACAGAAAAACAAAAACTTTTAAAACAAAATGCTTCGTTAACTGTGCCACAATATCCTTTTGAGGTAAAATAAAAATTGAAAAATAAATATAACTTATATTTACTCAAATAATTACTCACTTCAGCTAGAGGTTGAAAATAAATAATTTATAATTACCCCTTCTAAACATTATTAAAACAATAATTACTCAGAGTAATTATTTTAGTAAATAAAATTTTTGTAAATAATTATGTATATGAATATTTAGATGTATGCAGCAGGGGAACAATTTTCGCGACAAGAAGAAGAATTTCAACAGTTAATTCAGGGAGCTAAAAGACGTGGTCCAAGTAATTAATTAAATATTTTTTTAAACTTTAAATAATTCTTGTATATTTTCCTTTTTTTGTATTTTTTAAAATATTTTCTTTTCTAATTAAATAAAAACTGTTTCCACTAACATTCAAAAATTAATTTTAATTAATTTAAAAGGAACAACAATTAGCCAAGAACAATTAGATATGCTAAATACAATGTTTACAAACAATCCAAAACCCTCAAAACATGCACGTGCAATATTGGCAAAAAATTCAGGATTGAGTATGCGCGTAATTCAGGTATTTAAATGTTTAAAAGAAAATTTAAAAAATTATTTTTAAAGGTTTGGTTTCAAAATCGTCGCAGCAAGGAACGCCGTTTAAAGCATTTATGTAATTTTTTAAGACATTGTGATGATGGAAGTATAAAAAATATAAATAATGAAGATATCAGTAATGATGAAATATTAATTATAGAATAAATGTGAATTTGTAGATAAATGGGGATATTTTTTAGAAAATATGTATTTTAATTTTATGTATACAATCGTAGTCAAAAGGATAAAAATAATAATCAAAAGGATAATAATTTTTACGTAGTCAAAAGGATAAACAATTATTAATAATATAGTCTAAATTCAGTTAGTTTTGTACCTATCTTTTTGACCACTACTGTATACCTCTTCAAATTCATTTTACCTCTTTAGAAGATTTGAAATTTATTTTAATCTTTCGAAAATATTTTTTACAAATTTAAAAATTAAATTATGTAGCTGTTAAAAATTATATTATCAATTAAAACACGCTATTCGGTACTATAAATTTAATGAGTTCTTAATAATTATTAGTGAAATCATTAAAAATAACTTCATTCTAGTACTAATTTTCACAAGTACCGTTCATTCATAATCCTAGAAATAAAAATGTCGAATGCTGGAAAGTCGGTCTTGAAAGTGAGAATCTCGACAATAAACCACAAAATTAGCCAACGAATAAATATTTCAAAGAAAATTTAGAAAAATGAGGCTTGAAAAAAGACTCAAGGCTTTGGCTACGGTATCCAGAAATATTAGCACTCAAACGTCCCTTTGGGGACTTTTGAATTCGAAATTTGAGTTCGGAACCCTAAAGTTGGTACACAAGCGATTCCGTCCTATTTACTATATAAGTTTAAGATAAAAAATCTAAAAATAAATCCTAAAAATAAATCGTCCCGTTTTGGGTGGGGACTCAACCGTAGGGACTCAAACAGCGGACTCATTTGGGACTTCCGAAATTTTTGGGAAAAAATATTTCTTGATAATTTTCGGTTTAATTTTTCTTTAAAAGGTGTAAGTTTTATCAATTCATTCAATCAAACAATTTTTATTTTGTTAAAGTTAAATTAATTAATTATTTAATTTTTTTCAGATCTCAATTCTAAAAATAATATTTTTAATAAATAAAATGGCAGCAATGATTAAAAAAGCAGAATTTACTCAAATGATAGACAGTACTTTAATCCAAACAATAGACGATGATTTAGTTATAAATGTTGGAACAATTAAAGCTTTAATTCCTTTTATTTCCCAAGGAATTCTTGAAAGAGACCAATTACCCATAATTTTGACTGTTTTGGATGTTTGTTTTCTTTTCTTTTTAAATTAAAAAAATATTTTTAGGATGCTACAGTTGAGAATCGGTTGGCTTTACATGATTTACTTGTTAAAGCTAATTTTTCTGATTCGTTATCTGTGATGCATTGCCTTAAAAAGCTCCTTCAATCTCTTAGACGATTTCCAATGGATAAATACTCAATTTATAGGTTTTTAATTTTTATTTTTAATTTTTATTTAAAAATATTTGGACTTTAAATATTTATTGGGATATCTAAAATTTAAAAAAAAATAAATAGAAATTTTAAAGAACGTTAATCTAACGTCTCTTTTTTTAGTTGTTTGGGTGGTATTGGAAAAAGACACGCACCAATGGTTCAAGCACACGTTTCTGAATTACTCGAAGTACATCCAATTTTTGATATGCCTGAACAAAATATTGAAGATGATTTTTGTATTTATTTTTTTTTAATTTTAATTAAAAATTATGTTTTTTGAAAAGATCTAGCTAAATTAATTCTTGTTCTTAATGCTGCTTCTCAATATCCGGTCATTTGTTCGTTAATTCCAAATTATATTTTGAAACATTATCGGTATTTGCAACGGGCTTGGCCGAGTTTGATTCCGCCAATTGAGGTTTTTATAGCAAACATTTTTTTCATACTTTCACAATTTTTGAACGATTTTCTTAGTTTAACTTGTTCAAAATTTTCCCATTAGTTTTCCCAATTTCCCCCAACACTCCCTTTATTTTTTATTTAAAAGGAATTTGAAGACAAGAAGCGCCCATTAATAGAATTACCTCCTGATGTTTCTAATTCTGGAGAAAAACTTTGGACGAGTCCAGGCACTTCAAGAAACTATAGTGATCAAAATATTAAATCAATTAGGGTAATCAATTTTCTTTTAACTTTTTTAAAAACCTCTCAACTGAGTCTCATTTTGTATTTTTAAATTAACAAAATGACAATAAAGAAGAGGAAAATAAAAGAAAATTATTTTTTGTTAATTTCTTTTTTTTTGTTAATTAAAAAAGAAATTAGAAGAAATAATTTTTACAAATTTTATTTGAAAAAAATTTTTAATTTTCATTTTTTTAAAGATTTTTGAGCCAACAAAAGAATTTCAAAATAATGAAATTATCCGTTTTGTGGCCGGTCTTCCCACAAGTATTTTGGTTAGGTGTTTACTGGAAAATGTTGCGGATGAAGAATTTGAACGGTTTCGGTTTCAAGTAAATTTTAAAATTATTTAATTTTTTTTGGTAGATCTTAGGGAAGGAAAGAGGGTGGGGCAAGCTCGAAATTAGCGATTATTTTTAATAATATTTTTGTTGGGATAGTTTAAAGTAGAGGGCTATTTCTTTCCGAGAATTAATTGTTTGATGGGAAAAATAATTAATCGAAAAAAATTTTATTTGCTAAAAATATTTATTTAAAAAAATTTTTTAAATAAAAAAAGTCAACACTATTAACTTTTTTATTATTAAAATTTATATTTTTAGATAGAATATCCAGACCAAACAATCGATTATTGCCGTCCTCGTCACGGAGATTTTCTTCGTCTCAGTCCACATTCTGTCCATTTACAAACAAAAATTATTTTTTCTGCCCAAAGATGGGCAATCCCTGCAAGCGTTTATTTTATAGCCGGAATTTGTTCTAAAAATTTTCTTCACACAAATGTAAAAAGAATGAAAGAAATAAAGGGAAATTTTACGCCTTTAAAATGTGCTGAGAATTTAAATAAAGATAATAAAATATCTATAAATATACATCCCGTCCTTCAAGCTTAATTTTTAGTTTTAAATTTGTGTGTGTAATTCTTTATAAATGTATGTGAGTTTTTATATTTCTAATTTATTTAAAATAAATAAATTATTTTTTCTTAATTTTTTTAATATATTTGTTTTTACAATAGAAAATCTTTTTATTTATTTCTACCTATTTAATTAAAATTTTAAGAAAGAAAAGCACATTATATATTTCCCCGAATTAAACAAAATATTTCGATTTTTTTTTGTTTTTAATTTTTTAATTAATTACTAGAATTAATAGAGAAATTTATGGCCAGTCAATCATCAGGAACGGGAAATCCTCCTCCATTACCTCAAAATGTTAATTTATTTCCCCCACCTCCAATATTTGCAGAATGTTATACAAGTGAAAATATTTCAAAAGGATTAGTATTACCACCTCCACCAGTTCCAACAAAATTTGAAGTTTTTGGAGAAACTTTTGATTTGGAAGGAGTAAGAAAAGAAATTTTGTGTACAAATAATTAAAAACTTTATTTTTAAAGGCTTTATTGCCTTCATTAACTGATACAGGGTGTCAACAACTTTATTCTGCTAGTGGAAATTGGCGTTCAGAATTACTTAAATTAAATAGAAGTTTAATTGCTGCTTTTTTGGATTTGATAGAAATTTTAATTAAATGCCCAGATAATGAAGAAAGAATTGAAAAAATAGAAACAATTCGAACACTTTTTATAAATATACATCATTTAATTAATGAATATAGACCTGTACAGGCTAGGGATACTTTGAGACAATTAATTAAACATCAAAATTTGGAAATTACTGTTAAGTTTTTTGATTTTTTAAATTAAAAATTGTGAGCTTTTCTGTGATTAATTAAAAATAATTTTACAGAAAATATTTCTTAATTATTTTACAGCGAGTTACAGAAAAACTCAATAAATACACAGAGACTGGAACTGCAGCACTTGAAACACTTAATAATGCTTTACGTAATTTTACTTTTGATGAAACAATTCCAAAACCTCCTCCTAATTGTTTTGAAGAGAATGAAGCAATGGAAATTGGTGAGAACAATATAGATAATTGAAGCCTTTATGGGGACAAACAATCCACTTTATAGTAAGGAATAAATATAACAAATAACTAAAGTCGAAAGGTACCAAAATTTCAACTAAAATTTTAATACCCCTACGGTAAAATAATAGTTGATATAACTAAATTTTAGGCAATGGGAAAATAATTTCACCAATCGTTCAAACAACACAATTACCTTTACCAAAGCCAGTTGAATTGTTAACAGGTGTTCGTTTAATGAGACGTGACATTGGAGGTGCTCCTCAAATTCTTAGCAAATTTCAATTTTTTTGAAAATTCGAATTTTTACCAAATTTCAATTTTTATTAAATTATATGTATGTACTGTTTTATAATTGGTTAGATAAATAATTTAAATATGCATAATCTGGATATATTAAATGTGGCAGTTCTATATTTCCTAAAACTTTATGTATATAAAATTAATATTTGAAATATGTAAAAACAATGAAAAGTGATTGTTTTTTGAAATTTCGTTTTTTTAATTTAATTTTCTTTTGTTGTATATCCTTTGTTGAACTGCCATTCTCTTCCTTCGCCGCCGTCCACATCCGCAACCTCCACCACCTCCGCCTCCGCCACAACCACACGAAGGGGCTGGTGGTGGTGGAGGAGGGGGTGCTGGAGGAGCACAGCCTGAAGTTAAAATGTTTTTGGTCATTATTTAAAAGGATTTGCCTGGTTCACATCCAATCTTTAATGTTAGTTGAGGAGATGGTGGGGGAGGCGCTGGTGGTGGAGCTGGAGCTGAACAGCCTGAAATGATAAATTATTTTTTTTTGAATTTTTAGAATTAACAAAAAGCTAGTCCTAATTTTTCACTTAACATTATTAGTCCTTTAACCCTAACAACAATTAACAGTCCTTCATTCTAATAACTATTTAGCTTTTCTCAATTACTTTAGAAATTACCTCCTCCACACCCGCAACCTCCTCCTCCGCCGCCACCTCCTCCACAACCGCAACCTCCTCCTCCGCCGCCACCTCCTCCACAACCGTAACCTCCTCCTCCGCCGCCGCCACCACATCCACAACCTCCTCCGCCGCCGCCACCACATCCGCAGCCTCCTCCCCCGCCTCCACACCCTCCACCACCGCCACCACATCCGCCTCCACTTCCACCTCCACAATTAACTACTAGAAAAGCAAAAATTATGTATATCAAAGGTTTCGAAATTACTAACCAACAACTTTTCCTCCTCCCCCACCTCCACAGCCTCCTCCACCACCTCCTCCGCCTCCACAACCGCATGATGGTGGAGGAGGACAACAAGGTGGAGGTGGTGGTGGGCCTCCACCACCGCAGCAACTTAATTTAAAGTTTTGAAAGTCATCCAAAAAATTATTACAAACCAACAAGTACCTCCGCCGCCTCCTCCTCCTCCAAAAAGAAAAGCATTATTTATTCCAATTTGTGATAATGAAATTAACAATGAAACTATTAAATATCGTGTGAACGAAGAAATAGAAAAACAAGGAATAAAATTTTCTGACCGCCTTGTCCTTTTGGACATTGTTTTGTTCATTTAAAAAAGTGAAGCTTTTTTTACCAAAGAATGAGGTTAGAACGCAAATGGAAAATGATTTTATAGGTGTTCGACTGGATTGAGTTAATTATATTTATGGGATGTCGCTTCATCATTTTCCATTGAACCGATAAAATTTACTAGGCAACACTCATTTCCTGCGCAAATAATTTACTTAAGAAAAAACCGGATGAATCGGCGATTAGAGACTTAATTTTGAAGAATATTTGGATTAAAAGTTAAAATTTTATTCAGAATTTTTATCATAATTTATTTTCACAGTATCGCTAAAGTTTTTATAGTTAGCTTATAAATAGGGTGATCTTTAAATAAAATTTTTCAGAAGTAAAATTTAGTTACTAAAGATTTTAAAGCATCAGAGAGAATGGTTTTTTTTTATTTGTTAAAACGGTTTTAAGGAATAATTATTTTAAAAAATAATTTTAATAACTCATTCTAATTTATTAATTCCTACAACAAACTTGGACTCTAATAACATACAAACAAAAAACATTTTATGTTAATTAGCTTAAATCTGCGAAAAACAGAATAATAATGTACATAATTAGCGCAAACAAACGTGAGAAAAATATCTCAACAGAATTTGGATAAAAATTTCGTTTCCTTTATCCTTTAAGCCATGAAATTATTCGTTGTTAATGGACTTTCACATCAAATAACCGGAAAACAAAAAAATATATTTAGAATTTGAGTTAATCTACTTGTTTTTTTTCTTATTTTTATCTCACCAGAAAACTTGTAGCAGATTTTTTGTCTTTAATCTATTTATCGTATTTTTTAAAATTATGATAAATATAGAAGACGTAACAAGAATAAATATTGAAAAAACTGAAATCACCGTGATCGAACAAGTTTGGACAAAGTTACGATACAGAATCTCGGCCCAGAGTTGCGAGCTCCTCATAATTTTTGTGTCATTCGATTTATAATATTTCAGCTCTTCGAGCTCTTTTAATTGCAATTTAACTTTCAAAAATTTGTTCCAAATAAAAAGGTTTCATTTTCAATTTTTTTTTCTTTTCTCGTCAAATAATTGTCAGTTTCACATTCAAAAAGAATGCAATAAATAAAAATTAATGTTTTATTAAAAATAAAAACATTTTTTAATTGAAAACAAATAAAATTCTTTAATTCCATTAATTTCCCTCTTTTGCAAATTTCTATTTCTTCAAAGGCAATGATTGCGCATAATCAACAAAAGAAAAACCAGCTTTTTTCCTATCGTCGCGCCATTTCATCCAGAGTGCTAAATAAATGGATGTTTTCTTTTTCTACAGAGAAAATGTTTTCTTTCATTTATGGCCTTTCATAACAAAAAAAGGTTATGGACAAAAAAGAGAGGAAAATTAGTAAAAAAAGAAAACATGGAAATAAAAAATTTGTTGAATAATTGCTTTTAGGCCAAAGAAACGCGCAATGAAAAAAGCTGTTAAAAGACAACGAATCAACAAAACGTTGTTTCTTTTTAGGGGTGGTAAAGAGTGATCCCTTCCTTATATTTCGCTGTGTTTCAATGAACGTTTTAATGCCTTTGTGTACTAATGATTAATCAGACAACAATTGTCAGTGAAGCAGTATTAAACCAGGTTTTTTTCTTGGAGGAGGCGGGCAAATAATTCAACGACGGATGTTGGACAAAACCCAAAGAAAGAGGGTTGTTCGTTAATAATCAAATAAACCTTTCTTGGCAAACAAATAAAACACTCCTATAAATTTGCAGAACAAATCAAAAAAATAAAACGCATCGTGAAAACATTAAAACAAATTTAGTGTTCATTCATTCTACAAAATCGAGGTCAAAAAGAAAACGTCAATAATGAAGACTATTTTTGCGGCACTTCTGATAGTTGCTCTAGCAAGATTAGGGTGAGTGAATACTTTAGCCTTAACTAGAATAATTAATTTAATATATAGAGATGGAAATTGTGGAAGCAGCTGTGGTGGTGGTGGTGGTGGCGGCGGGTGCAGTAGTGGCTGTGGAGGAGGTGGAGGAGGATGTAGCTCAGGAGGCGGTGGTGGTTGCGGAAGTAGTTGTGGCAGTATGTTAAAGTAAATAACAATCTAAATAAAAATATTAAGACGAAAATAAAATTACAATTTATTTCCAAATTTAAGATCAATTGGATATACAAGCAGTGGCTGTGGTGGTGGAGGAGGAGGTGGTGGAGGCTGTGGAGGAGGTTGTAGCAGTGGAGGTGGAGGAGGCGGTGGTGGAGGCTGTGGAGGAGGTTGTAGCAGCGGAGGTGGAGGAGGAGGTGGTGGAGGCTGTGGAGGAGGTTGTAGCAGCGGAGGTGGAGGAGGAGGTGGTGGAGGCTGTGGAGGAGGTTGTAGCAGCGGAGGTGGAGGAGGAGGTGGTGGAGGCTGTGGAGGAGGATGTAGCAGTGGAGGAGGC